TCCAGTGTCTGCTCAACAAAGTTTTGTGCTGACACTAGAAAACAGTCATGGAATAGACTTGCTAGTAGCTGTCAAGTTTCATCCACTCAGAATTTTTGGCGCAATTTCACATCTACGTCTCAAAAGTTAGAGAAAGTTGTCACCAAGGCAAAATCGGAAGCTGATGGAAGCAAGGCTGCCTCTGGGCTGCCGATTGATTTGAAAGGTCAGGTTGTTTTGAATTTTTAATTTTCAAAAGCTTTTCTAGATTTTGTGTGGTTTTAGATCTTAGCAGTGCATGGAAGAGATGGTGGATGTTCTCTGCCGATCAACTTTTTTTTTTCTCCTACTCCCCCCACCAAAAAAAAAAAAACTTGGGATCTCCATTTTATTGGTAAAAAAAGAAACTTGAGATCTCCATTTTAAATGCTGTTTGCAGGTAAAAGGGCATTTATAGCTGGTATAGCTGATGATAATGGATACGGGTGGGCTATTGCTAAGTCCCTGGCTGCTGCAGGAGCTGAAATTCTAGTTGGAACCTGGGTTCCGGTAAGTGAAATTTACAATTTCTTGTTGGATTTTAGCTTGAAATCTCTGTATATATATATTCAATCATTTTGATGTTTTACATTTCTTTAAACAGGCCTTAAACATTTTCGAAACAAGTCTGCGACGTGGGAAGTTTGATGAATCACGCGTGTTAGAGTCTAAACTTGTGATTACTTTGTACCACTGCAGAAAATAGGCTTTATAACTAACCTCCCATTAAATGCATCTTTGTCAGTTTGCCAGATGGTTCTTTGATGGAGATTACAAAAGTATACCCCTTGGATGCTGTTTTTGACAGTCTTGAGGATGTACCCGAAGATGTAATGTTAAAACATATAGTTGTGTGAAATTTTTTTGTAGTGTTTCATTGGAATCTTCCTAAACTGTATATATTCTAACCATGCAGATAAAATCAAATAAGCGTTATGCTGGTTCTTCCAAGTGGACAGTTTCGGTATGAAGTCCTTCCTATTCGCACTTGCTTGTGCATGCTGAACAAAATGAGTGACTCTTGTTGGTGTGGCTCGCTATTCTTAAGAACTAGATTTGGACATTCAATTAGCGTAACTACCATGGTTATTATTAATACTTGCCCTAAACAAATTAAAAATATCCGTTTTTCTTATCTCTGGACCTGGTAGTTTCATGTTTGTGTTGGTAATCATTTTAGGCCAGTATCAACTATCAAGACATCTTCATCTTCCTGATATTAATTGTTATGTCCTCTAAAGTTGGTGTATCTCAGTTTCATATTTCTCTTGTTTATAGGAAGCTGCAGAATCTGTTAAGGAGGATTTTGGCAGCATCGACATTCTTGTACATTCACTTGCTAATGGGCCAGAGGTATCACCTTTTGAGATTATAAATCAGTGCTTCTTCATTTGTGATCTTTCTTATTAAATCATTCAACCTTTAGGTGACTAAACCTCTTTTGGAGACAACGAGGAAAGGATACCTTGCGGCAATATCAGCATCAAGTTATTCCTATGTATCTTTACTAAAGCATTTCCTTCCAATTATGAACCCAGGCATGTATTTAGTTTGGCATTTATTTTATGTATTTCCTTTCGTTTCTTGTTCCTTGTTTGTCCATCTATACATTTATGTACTTCCCCAAAATGTTCCTTTGAAATGAATGATGATTTTATAACAGGTGGTTCTTCAATTTCTCTGACCTATATTGCGTCTGAGAGGATAATTCCAGGGTACACATTAGTCTTTCTCTCGTCTTGCTTTATTCTTTAGATGATATACTCTTAAATTTTAAATTTGTCGCTAGAGGAGTCACCCAGTGAAATATATCATGCGCAGATATGGAGGAGGTATGAGTTCTGCCAAAGCAGCACTCGAGAGTGACACCAGAGTGAGTTGTGACAAGAGGAGAAACTATATGGTTTTCTCCCCTTGAATATCTAATATCCACCCTATTTGATTGCTTCTTATCATTGAAAGGAGTCATTCTAATGATGTAGGTGCTTGCTTTCGAGGCCGGAAGAAAAAAGAAAGTTAGGGTGAACACAATATCTGCCGGTATGTGACCATTTATTGTCGTTTGGGTTATGATTTCCTCTATATGATAACACCTCAACCAAGTTATAGAATAACCTCGGAAGTCTACTAGGAAGCGAAGCAACCACTACTCAGCCTTTTGTTCCAACTCACTTCTTTATATAATGTTCCTTTCATGTAAATTCTTTTATTGACAAGAGAAACATATCTCTATCCAGGCCCGTTAAGAAGTCGAGCTGCAAAAGCAATTGGTTTCATAGATATGATGATAGACTACTCCATAGCCAATGCACCTCTACAGAAAGAATTATCAGCAGGTAAATCATCCACACAAGTTATTTTCTCACTAAAAGTGTTTACTTTACACTCTCTCCCTTGTCTTACTTTGCTCTTAATATACCTTTTGGAAAAACTTGCCATAGATGAAGTAGGAAATACAGCTGCATTCCTAGCATCGCCTCTGGCTTCAGCGATTACGGGTGCTGTTATATACGTTGACAACGGTTTGAACGCAATGGGTGTGGGAATCGACAGTCCTTTATTTAAAGAGCTCAACATTCCCAAGAGCGAGGAATAGAAGATATTATGTTCTACTTGAATTTGTATTTGTGTACTAGTCATTGTGTATTTTTTGAACTTGTTATGGTCAGAGCCAAGAATGGCTTGGCCAGCGGCCTTCACGAAATCAACTGTTGTGTGATTGATATTTTATAGAGTAAATAGAAGTAATGAGTTTCCAGTAATTATCTTTCACTAGGTCCCTAACCATATTTGCTGAAATAAAACTTTATTCTCTTTTTCTTTTGTTGATAACTTGCCATTATGTCCTAGTTGCTACTTGTGTAGGCACATTTTAATACACATTGAGGCTTGAAAAAAATAAAATATTTTGTGTAGGCACATTCTAATCCACATTGAGGCTTGAAAAAGTAATATATTTTGTCTAGGATGATTCAGCCAAAAATAGTAGTAACAATTTGAAGCAGAGAATATGTGTTTACGTTTGCGCCAAGGCTTTGGTTCAGTGGTAGTACATTGTGATATGTGGATTTAGCGCCCGTCACGAGTTTGAACTCTACCTCTGGACAAGCCTAATATTTAAGTGGAGAAGGGGTTATGAATTAGTCTATTATCCTCTTAGTTTCAAATCGTGCACCAGTCGTTCCTTGGGATTTTTCGATGGTAATTTGTCGGTTATCAAAAAAAGGATAGCTTGGTGCACTAAGCTTCCCTTTATGTGCGGGGTCCGGAAAAAGGTCGGACCACAAGGGTCTATCGTACGCAGTCTTACCCTGCATTTCTACAAGAGGCTGTTTCCGCGGCTCGAACCCGTGACCTCCTGGTCATATGACAACAACTTTACAAGTTACGTCAATGCTCTCCTTCTCGGTTATCAAAAAGAAAAGAAAAAAACACGTGCATACTTTTTTGCCATTGTAACTTCATATTTTGGGCTAAATTTAACTATATTGTTCTGATGAGCTCAAAGCTATTGGGTCCTCTCATTACTTTATAGCTAATTAGCTTTCAGCTTTTTAGTGGCCTTTATTTGCATCTACTTTCAAATGCTTGTCAAAGAAATAAGAACCATATGAACTAAAATTTCATATGAAAAGTGCAATTATTTTCAAATATTAATTATATCATACAAAATGGAAAGAAAGTAACAAGAGATGGCAGAAAGTTCAAAATAAAACAATACTCCCTCTGTCTCATATTAACAGTCATAATTACGTAAAAATTGCACGAGGCGCCCTATTTGGTCGTCCTATTTAACTTATACCCATTTTTTTAAAGTTTTAATTTGTACCCACTTTTTAAACAACTTTAGCCCCCTTTCTCCTCCTCCTTCTCCTCCTCAAAGTTATATCCGCCCTCAATCACTAGGCCTGGAACATTGACAAGGCTGAAGGGATGCTTGACAAACTCGCCATCTTAATTTCCGCAAACCTTTTCACCACTTGGCAAAAGCAGACAACTTCGTAATACTTGCATGAACTATTAATACTAGTACTAATTTTTATACTCCGGCTCTTACTACCCAAGGGAGTGAAATTTTCCTTTTCTACAAGGAATTGAAAATTTATAACGAGTGAGATCCTTGAAATAGTAGATGACTTTTTAGATTTTGTTTTGGTATGGTGTTTTGAAAGAAAAAAAGAATCATTAAAATCTTGAGGAAACAAGAAAAACCAAAACCAAGTTAGATAAAAAGAATCATATTAGAAGTTCGTCAGTTACAAACAAATACTTCAGCTCTAGAGCTAAAGTTCGTCAGTTACAAACAAATACTTCAGCTCTAGAGCTAAAGTTCGTCAGTTACAAAAACAAAAACTTCAGCTCTAAAGCTGAAATTCGCCAATTACAAAAATAAAAACTTCAGCAATTACGAACAAAAACTTCAGCTCTAAAGCTGAAATTCGCCAATTACAAAAATAAAAACTTCAGCAATTACGAACAAAAACTTCAGCTACTATGCTTAAGTTCAACAATTATAAACAAAAATTTCAGCATATTTGGTTTAGCATACTTACTACTTCAGTCTCATCTACTAGAATGCTGAAATTTTGCATGATTGTCTTTGTTACTTCAGCCCCGTATGCTCAAGTTACGCGAAAAAGTAGGTACACTTGCAATTTTTTTTGCAAAACAAGTGCAAGTTAAAATGTGACCCAAAAAGCGAATATAGATGCAAATGCCCCCATAATTACTAAAAATAGTTGTCTCAAATTATTTAACATTTTAAAATTTCAACACAAGATTAATTATTTTTTACCCTTAGTAATAATTGTTCTTGAAGATGAAAATAACACATAAATAGAATAAATAGTCAATGAAAAGAGATTATATCTTAAGACATAAATAAGGGTAGAATATTCTAATCCCTTTCCTAATTAATTTTTCTCAAAGGGCGTGTAAAAGAAAAACACAACACAATATGAGACAAATGGAGTAAAAGAAATACTAATGTGATTAGAAAGGGGTAATGATTTAAGAACTTTTAACAGGGAAATATTGATCAGTCCCTATGATATGAAAGCCTCAGATCCAGCAGCTTTACATCCAAAAGAACTACTCATTAACTAACTCTACCTTACCAGAGAACAAGGCAGCTAAAATTGATCCTTAGCAAATTAATGAGGTCTGCATTTCTTATTTACACCAAAATAGCCTATTTGGAATATACAGATATCTCCAACCTTATAGTAACTTCCTCTTCAGGCTACCATTGCAAATGTTTGCATCACCAATTTCATATGAATCGTCAACTTCTGACGCTTCGCGTAAAACCTTGCCACGGTTCCTTGAAAATTTCTTGACCCAAGTGACATTTAATATTGGTCGAGAATCATTGATTAGAACAGGTTTAGCTTCAGTAATGCCTGGATTCATCGATATGTCCCTGTTTGGCATCAGCTCTTCTCCTTCTGGTACCACATTCTTCATCAGCTGCATGCACATGCAATTTGGCCATAATGTCAAACCGAGAGTTGCTGAGTAACAAAGAAATCAATCTGGAAGCTTTCAAATGCATATCATAGAAAATGCTAGGATCCTACTCACTAAGTACCTAATATGGACACAGAATTATGATTTAGATATAATTCCCTACCTCCCAATCAGCAAAATCCAATCTGAAGACAAAGTGGCTGTATTTAACTTCACCAGACTTAACTGCAGCGGCAGCAGGACCATTCCTAGGAGCTGAGATGGGAAGAACATTAGAAAGGAGAAAAACACTATAGACCTAGAGGAATCAAGAAAGAGAAGGACAAATATAAAAGGAACTCTCAAAAAAAGGTTCAGAAAGGTATCTTACAGACAAAATGAGATCCACTTTCATCCAAATCTACGAAAACCCGTCCATCTTTCACTAGAAAAGATAGTGTAAATAAATTCTCAATGCTTTGCGCAAAGGATTTTCTGTTCATTATGAGACTCTCAAGCTTAACTCGCTTCTTCCTTAGGATCTGAAACATGGTTGATATGTTCTTGTCTGTATCTGTTTTCTCCTCAGCATTAACTTCAAGCTGTGACAAAAGCAGATTATTGCATCACACTGGAATGTCACAGTAGCAATAAGCTAAATGAAATGCAAAATCAAGACATATTGGCCTTATTTCAACCCCATTTTATGTCATTACCAGAAATAATGACAAACTTAATACAGGAGAGCTTTACAAGATACACATATCATGGGGTCGAGCTATGAATACGTGATGCTTTTCCTTTTTTCTTGGCAGACAGTTTAGTCCAGCAAGAAGATTTATCAATTTCAGTTTTCACTGTAAAAAAGAGACGATGGTTGCTTCCACTATATATTAAATGGACTAGAAAATTTCTACTAAGTTCACATTTTCCTTGCATGGACTTAAGATGTGCATTACAGGTCACAGGCGTCCAAAGGAACATGAGAAACAAATTTCAGAGCAACATCAGAACAATAGTTTTTAGAACCAAAATGGAACATATCAAGTAAAGAAATTTTCTAAATGCACTCTAGTGTCAATATCTTAAAACCTACTTAACTCTTGCCTGCACATGTCTACAATGTTAATTGCATTTAACACAAGTCATGAGAGAGTTACACGTACCTCCTTTGGACGAGCACGTGAGTGCACCTTTGTCCGTGGTCTACGTGTAACCTTCCGACACTTAAATTCACAGTTCATGGGTCCAAGCCTTCAGAAAAAGTATAAACAAGAATGAGAACCCAAGTGTCTCATGAAACAGAGCTGTGAGCACATTGTAAGAATTAAAAGTTGCAAAACAAATCTTACATAGTGAGGCAACCTCCAGCATTCGTAAAAATTGGTGAAACAGCCAGCCCAATATCTTTCCAAAGTGCATTTGCATTCACAGAATGACCTTTTGGACGTTGTGTCCCAAAAACATCAAGCAAAGAGGAAATGAATATATAAGGTGTAACACCAGTGGAATGTGATCTAACAGAAGCCGCCAAAGTTTTGGTGAGATCAAACAATGCCTCTGCATCTGCAACTTGCTCTCTTGGCTTTTTCACTAATCAACACAGCAGATAAGGTTAATAATCCATCTCAAAAATAAGTTTGCAACCCAACATTCAACAAGAACTGTTCAATTCAGCCTTCTAATGTTGTAAACTATACAAACTCTAGCTTATAAGTTTAAGGCCTCTCAAGGATACAATATTAAACAAGATAGTAGCACCAATCACTACTTCATTTAAAAAACTTGAACTTGAGTTTTCATGCTCGATCATATTTAAGTAAAGCACCCAACATCGCACTAAAATACTATAACTGATCATATTTACCAAAATTTAGCTTTATCTCCAGACTGCAAAAGGGGAAAAAGAAACATGAATAAATGTTAAGGACACACTTTCAAATCTTCGCAATGTTATTGAACGGTACCTCATACCACCAGGAAAAAAACCGTGACAAGGCAAAAAACAAGTAGCCCTGATACCTTAGAATTTCACTTTCAATATTCTTGTGATTAGTACAACTACTACTAACCCCATCACCTCCTTATAAGAAGGAAAACGAAATGTTGTAATACTGAAGCAGATACTTGCAAATATCTTGATTCATAACCTAACACGACATGTCATTGTTTAACCTTTTAAAGTAAATAATTTGATGATATAACTTAGGAGACACTTTAAGATTCTTCCAATGGTTTCAACTAGTAGCTCACCATCCACCATGCCATCATCCCCCCTCCAAGAAACAAAAAATCCAATCCCTCATCCTAAAGGACAATATCTTAAGTATGAACAAAGGCAGATGTAGTGCATAAGTTACGGATTCATCCAAACCTAGAAACTTTGGCTCAGATCATGTATGTGTATTAAAAAGTTCGCTAAATAAGTAGAAAAAATATATTTTGAACCCAATAAATCGAAAGGAATCTCTCTATATATATATAAAAGAGGGAAAATAAATGTTGACATGACATATCTCTTAAGCTAGCATTGGTATTTATCTTTTTTGTCAAATTTTTGGCATTTTTCTCTTATTTTCACCTTAAGATATTGCTTAAAATTATATAAAGACCCTCTATTAATTTCTTCCATAAGTTTCTACCGTTAGCTTCTTTATTATTAGAATTTACCTATATGTATGGACGTTACAATATAGCACAGCCGAAGAGGCAAAAGCTTGATGAATTTGTTCTTATATTTGAAGACCGGGTTTATGTCTTTGCACTCAGTTAAGTACTATTTTTTTTCTTTAGTTTCTTATTCATACTCTTATGCAATTGTTATTTGTGTTCCCTTGGGTGTATTGCAGAGGCCTGCAATATTCAACGTATCTGTTATATCGCAAAGGGAATTAAATTTCAAAGCCAAGCACCTGATCTGACAAGTGCGTTGCAAACTCTCTTCGTAATTATTTTGCATCATGTCTTTTTGTAATCTAAGCCTCTTTTTGATAATATTAAAAGTGCTCCAAGTGATACTCGCAAACAGGTTAGCCATCAACAAGCTTTTTATATCTCATGGAATTGCATCTTTTTCATATCCTTTCTCTGATTTAAAGGTTTATCCGAGTAATATTGCAGTCATATAAAAAAAAGTAAAAGAGAATTTCAAGAATCACAAGAGTTCTCAAGGCATATATGGCCTAAGGAAAAGATCTAGAATGCAATTTTATTATAGCACATGAGTTTGGCTATTCAAAAAACTATTTCGTTATAATTTTCATTCTCAACATTTTCACTATGGTGAAGAGCACATTTTATCTACTCTTCAAACCATGCTATGTTATCCAAAGCTGCAAAAGAGTATTGTTGTTTGTGCCGGTTCACTTATGAGGGATCTCTACAGGTATTGTTAATTCTTTCGTTATTACTTCTATATAAATTTATATGCCACTATTTTCTTTTCTCCTATAACGATTACTAGATGAATCACATCATGGTGTGTGCACGAGTGGTGACGGTACCTGCTACTTTTCTTTGTATTCACTATTCAGGTGCTTGACTTGGTTACAGTTGTGCAGCGACAATTTCGCTCTTGCATATGATTCTCCGCAAAACTCCTAAAGTGTAGTACATAGACATTATCCATGAATTATTGGATTTTGATTTTGATGTAATTTTCACTCTGGTTCTTTCACTATTTCTTGAATTAGCTTTTCTACTCTTATTTCAAACCAAAACAGCTCGAGAGGATACTATTACTCAACATGATATATTATATTGTCTTTTTTTTTTCCATTTACTTGCCTTTATCTTATACTTTCCTATTTATCCTATGGTTAGAATAAAAGTCTCTACCATTATTCTTATTATTATTATTTTTGCAATGAGAAGCACTGGCTATGTGTTGTCTGATGACTTTAATCAATGTAGATGCATTTGGTGAAGAAAACAAATAAAAGTAGGAAACAGAAGAGGCAATGTCACCGTATTAAAAGAAGATAAAAGTGAAAAATAAATGGATAAATAAAATCTATGAATACTTTTATACTGTCTATCTAATGTATATTTAATAAAATTGAGTTTCTTTTTATAAATGAATGACATATATGAATTGATGTTAACAAATTGATCTTCTTAATTATTTTGTTAATTAGTAGGGAAAAGAAGTCTCAACTCTAAGCAAAAAAAATTTGTCTCTCTATCTCGACTTGATTCATAAGAAGATAATTCTAAATTCTTTATTGGCGAACAAATTCACTAGTATAGTAGAATCCCGAACTCAAACTCTTAATGTTCGAAACATGGTCAGCCTCTACATATGAGAACCATCGCATCTATATTCAGTATGAACACTAAACATCAATTTTTCTCTTTCCTAAAAGTAAAGTTTGCATAATTAAGCTACAGTAAAATCACTACTGAAATTGACCCCCAAAAAAATCACTACTATAAATCACAAAAAGAATTCTTGTTGAAATATTTAACATGTTTGTGAAACTCATAACAGAAGAAAAAACTGTTCTACTCTCAAGATTGTAATATTGACATTCTTTTTCTCTTTTCTTTTTGCATTGAGGGGGTAATCTCTATGGACAATGTTACAATGGTGGTTAACTACCATACAATCACACACGAAACAAATAGAAAAAAACAAAACAAGATTCGGATTTTGAGTCGCACCACACGCTTATTAGGGTCAATCACAGTTCATATTTACTAGAATTCAGAACACAAAGTTAACAGACAAAATTCTAAATATTTTAGCAGTGCTGCCATAACTGCAACAAATGTAGCTTACTTAAACTTACTAGTTACTATTTGTCTTAAAAATAAAAGCTTTCAAGCATATATATGCAAAATTTTGTAAATATTCAACGTAAAAATAAAACCTTTAACATCTAAATATCACTCTCAATACATAATCATAATACAAAAGGGAAAATAAAACTATCCATAATAATAGTTTTAAAAAATATAGAGAAAAAGGGAAAAACAAAAATACCTTCATAATGAGAGTTTTCAATATCTTTCATAATTTCCTTAAACTTCTCAGAATCAACATTCGCTATTTCATCTTTTCCCTCTGCATAAAAAACAAAAACAATATTTTTTTTATATAAAAAAACAGAGCAAAACAAAAAAAAAAACAAAAACAAAAAAAAATCAGAAAAATTACCACAAATACGGTTTTGAATATCAGAGTATTTGGAGCGAACTCCTCTTGCTTCTGAAGTTGGTTGCTGAGTCAGCTCGTTCAACTCATCATCATGTACAACAGTTTTTGCTTTATGTACTTCTTGATTTCTCTCTATTTCTTTCGCCATTGTTTTCGCTGAGTGAATTTGATCAACAAATTTTTACTATGTCTTTTTAAAGGGAAAAAACTTGAGTCGTTTGGTTTACCTTCTCAAGGAAGTTTTTTTTCACCCTCCAACTTCTTAAGCAAGTTTTGGGAATAGTAAAAAAAAAATTGGGGGGAGAATTTCCCGCTTGTCTGAAAATTTACCACGCCAAGGTAAATTTTGTAAAAATTTACTGCCTCGTCTTATTTTAGGTTTTTCTTTTTCCTTTTCTTCGTTTCTTCAAGTATTTGTAACCTTTTTACTTGCACATATAAGCAATAATTTTTCCATTAAAACTTAAATATATGAAATAATTTTTTAGAGATTTTTTCACATCCCGCCACTTTCACCATAGAAAATTCGTGAAAATTTACTATTCATTTTAATGTAGTTTAGTTTTTTCATTGTGTGATGCATCTCGACTAATGAATCAAATATCTATTAAATTCTACCATCATATATATATATTTGAATATGGGATATATTGTTGTCGATCAAAGCTTCAATATATTTATATATTTTTTTGAATATCTAAATTTTAAACTATTGAATTTATTTAATTCAATTTAACTTAAAATATTAGTTAAATTGACTCTGGAACAATAAAAAGTGACACTTGACACAGAGTAAGTTTCTACTCAATGTGAAGAAGAGACTACGTTTAGGAGCAGATATAAATTAAGTAATGGATTATCAAATGTTTGATCATAATACTAATATTAACTCTCTTGGTCATAACCAAAGAGAGGTTACATTGATGCAAAAGTTTAGGCAGCTATATCAAAATTCTCCATGGCTATGACTTAAATTGAAAAAAAAAAAAAAGTAAAGGGCAACCCGATGCACAAAGTATTTTGCGTTCACGCAGAATTCGGGGAAGAGCCGTATCCCAAGAGGTGTGATGTAGGCAGTCTATCGAAATGCAAGCATTAGTGACTACTTCCGCAACTCGAATCCGCGACATATAGGTCACATGAAGACATATTTACCGTTGCTCCAACAAAATTAACGACAAACTAATGTTATATGGTCCCAAATCCTTTTTGTTCCCTAATCCTTTTTGTTGATATTGCCTCTTATCCTCCTTGATCTCCTTGGCCCTCTACAATCATAATAATCATAATCAGGATCATTCTTAATTTCCCAACCCCTACTTCTCACTCTCGCGCTTCTCCTGATGACTGACTCATCAGTTTCTCGAGCTCTCAGCTTGTACCTTTTGCGCATCCTTTTCTCTGCCATTTCTTTGACCAACATTGTGTTACCTTCTGCAGGTAATCCACACACAATGTCACGACGAAATAAGGGTTTGGCATTCATTTCTCTGCGGACAATGTCTCTAAGTTCGAGTGCAGCTACATGTTGAATAGTTTCTTTTGGATAGTAAACTATGGCGTTGTTGAACATCAAGAGAAGATCTCTAAAGAAGGCAATTTCAAAGTTCGAATAAACATCTTGTTCTAATTTGCTTTGAATGATCTGTAAATCCATATGTTGTCTAATTTGTTCAGTATAGTCTTGATTTCCCTGAAAAATAAATAAGCACTAATAAGGAATAACCTAAGTTTATAATATCAAAAATGCAAAAAAGATAAAGAAGCTTCGAGCTCATATTGGTCAAGGGATGGGAACGGGAATTGAACTCTATGAGATCGAATCTCCTGTTGTTCCCCAGTAGCTCAGTGGTAGAGCAATCGGCTGTTAACGGATTGGTCGTAGGTTCGAATCCTACTTGGGGATATTTGATTGATGATGAATTAAAGAATTCATAATAAAGGGGCCCGCTTTGCCCGTTAAGACTAGGTAACTTGTTCCCTGTCTTTATTTCTATTGTGTTCTATCTCATCGTATCACATTATGTTACGCGAGATTAGAAAACCACCATCAATACCTCGGTCTAGATCTGAGATGATTAAAGCTATTCATGCATGAAACTGCATGGTATATATATATATATATATATATATATATATATATATATATATATATATCGTTATAAATGTAACGACACTTATTATAAATATTTATCTGCACAAGATGTTTTACAGTAAATAAAAAAAGAGTTACCTGACTGCGAAGCCGGGATTCGAAAAGACAACAATGCTTGTGAGACCTAAGCAAATCGAGGATTTTTCTTAAGCCTTCATCAATATTGGATTTTCTTTGAATTTCCTCCATTTTGTTAGATTTATCACCATCTTCTTCCTCCTTTAACTCTATTCTTTCTTCTGCTTCCAATTGGAACAAAAGGAGGTAATTTTTTCTATATAAACATGCATAAGTAGAGAAATATTAGTTTTCACCGTGTAAACGTGGATAAAACAAAGAAATTTGAAGAAAAAAAGAGTGCAAGTGCTTCATTTTATGAGACTATTAATTGGTGACAAATTAAGGTTGTAGAGATGATAAAAGCTAACCGCCACTATGATTTTATAAAATTGGAGCCTAGAATCTATGGTGTTCGGACTCTCAAAAATATTGTTACATATCGGATTTTTTAAAAGTAGTACTATATTTTTAATTTAGAGGAGCTGACATAGTTGCAACAATATTTTTTTATAGTCCGCGTAACATAGCCCAAAACATTTTTCTAGAGAACACTTTTTGAAAAGAAAATGTCATTATTTTAGTATTAGATTGCACCAAAAGTTAAAGGACATTGAAATGAAAACTTTATTTATTGAACATACAGAAGTTAAAATAAACTTTCATAATTGTACCAATCTTGATATATATATATATNGTTTGGTCATGTGAAAGAAATACTAAACTAATTAACAAGAACATGAAGATAACAATTCTTCAAGCTTCACACACACAAAATTTTTTTGGGGGGATGAGGGGGGTTGAAACTTGAAACTAAAAGGCAACTATTTCAAATAATAAAAATAAAAAGATTAATCATACTGAATTGAAGCAGTTCTGAGTTTCACGTCCTCTCTCAAAGCAACTATATAAGCCTTTGTAAGTATATCCACCATAAACTTCACCAGCACACTCTCATCATCTTCTTTATAATCCATTTGATGAACATTCATAAAACGGTCACGTAAATCTTGATACATAACCTGACATTCTATAGGTGACAAGTCAAGAATACAACGACGACGATGAAAAACAGCGTCAGAAAACTCAACAGCCACCATTTCCCAATTGTTTAATCCATGGCGTTGCACTGAACATGCTAGCCATAAATCATCTTGAAGTTTCTCCATTTTTTAAAGAAAAAAAAATGTTTTTTGATTGTGTTTTAGAGAAGTACTTATTGGTTAAATTTCATGATTAATTTTCTACTTAAAAAGGTATGATCTCTTGTATTAATGAGTAATAGTTAGATTTTGTGAATCTGATTTTACTCATATATGAATGAATCAAGGCCAGCTAATACAAATGTGAAAAGAGATAAGTGCTTTATGTGTTTTTGTTCTCTTCTCATAAATATATCATGATCTATATAGGAGTATATCTTTATTGTTCTTTTCTGTTATCTTATTAAATTTGTTCTTCTTTTTCATTTTGCTCAAATTTATAGCCATTTAGTCATTTTTCTTAATACTAGTTTTTCGTTACGCGTGTATCATGTATTAGTACATAAAAGTTTAAACAAATTACATAAATATATTAAAAATATGTTTGAGATATAATATAGAAAATAAATATATAAAAATTGTAAGATGCTAAAATTAATGAATGTTAATCATATTTAGCTAACTTATAATTAAGAAGATGGTAAATCTAAAAATCGTAGCCACAATTTTAATGGTATTGGGGACGAAGGCATACAAAGATAGTGAGGCTTCTAAGTTCTATCTAGTCTAGATTTAGGGTGATAGAGCACACTACAAATACGACAAGCATCACCCGAGGAACATCACATGTATAATAACAAAAAATAATAAATCTAAAAATTTATCCCTAGTAGCAGCTGCAAAGTGCAAAGACATAATAAAAGTTTTTTTTTACATAATACATAATTAGTTATCATCTAATAATGTGATTGAAAATAATATTTTGCTCTCGTGGATGGAGAATACTGTCAGACTTACTAATAAGACTGCATATAAACCATCATACTAATCTAGATAATTTGTCAAAAGTATTATTGCATTAAGTATGTACCTTGCAAAATAAATTAATATATTTATAGAAAAATAAAGTAATTAGCAATCAAACAAAAATTCATCTGCATAAATAAATTGACAGTTGACTGAGCATACCTGCTTTGAGAGACTTGTTTAACCAAAAATTTGAGTCTTTGGTCAAAGCTAAAAGAAAAAATCGGGTTACTGATAATCAGGAGACAAAAAATAAAATACTTTTGAGAACAATGGTAGAGGGTAAATAGATAAGTATTTTAGTGTATTCTCAATAGTATTCTGTGTCCTTACAAATGATGATCCTTCTTCCTTTTATAGATCATTCTAGGTAAAGGAATAAAGACTCAGCTTTAATGATATAATCATGAGCAATAAATGACATTAAATAGGCCGTTACACAATCATTCCTATTAAATACCAACTTTATAACGTATCAGCCATTTAATAATGAATTTGGGCTTCTTTCTGTCATCTGATCCTTGCTTTCAATGCCTTCTAATCCGTTGGCTGCAAATAATTTAAAT